AAAATATAAAACACCTAGAAATTACCTGCATCCATTATTGCTCACACTAAATGTATTTCTTCTTATTAACAAAGGGAGCACATAGAATGTTCAGAGACTTCTGTGAATCAGGATGAACACACAGCTCTTGGAGAATGGGCATGGCCTGTCACTCAGGACTCTGTGACAGCTATTGGTGCCCTAGGTCAATCACATACGCAAATGCACCCACCGCAGCTCTGCAAGGATCAGGCCTTAAGCCTATTATTGTTTACCAAACGCTAACAGTGTACTGACTGCATTACAAACAGGCAAAAGGAACCACCAACTCACAGGACACACATGTGGCAAGTATGGAAACATGATGGAGGTGCAGGTCACCTTCACATTGCTTGCAAATGCTCCCTTCTACACCTTCTTGGGTTTGGGTATGCTTTTCCTGCCCTCTTACCTGAGGTCAGCAGCTAAATGTTTTCAATAAACCATTATCCTCAAAGAAATCCAAAGAATAAAAAGAGAATGAAGCCCAAGGACTCCATACTAGACAAGAATTGTTACTGCCTCTTGCTAGGAAGCCCCCCCGGTGGCCCTATCCTCACTGCAGAGCCAGACCAGCTGCCTCAGCCTCCTAAGTAGCTGGGGCAACAGACAAGCACCACACCTTCAGCTCCCCTCTCATCTTCCACTCTCCGTACCACATATCCTAGAAAATGATAAGGCCCTCAAATCCTGCCACACAGAATATTATAGGAACAATCAAAGTACCTAGAAAGCTCTACCTGACATCACTGATTTTCCCAGAAGTGCGGGAACAAGGGAGAGGGGATTTCAGAAGAAACCCAGGGAGACAGAGATGTCCCAACAGAGAACACAATGGTTTCCCAACTGTAGAGTGAACCAGAACCTCTGGGAGTGAGTTTTAAAACACTGACAGCCAGGGGTTCTTGGTGTTTGATGGTGTTGATTCAAACTGGGCCTTAAAAAAAAAAAAAAAAAACTCTTGGAGGAGCTGGGGGAGGGAGGTTAAATACATAACCTCAAAGAAGTCTCAAAGAATTAATAAAAATATTATTTTAAAAAGTAAGAAAAATCCCTGACAGGAATTAAGCAGCTGTGCTGCTGGCTGCTTCCCTCCCCCTCCCCACCACCCCCCTCCACCTCAGGCAGCTGTGAATGAACACTATTATCAAGCCAGACCTGATGTACATCTCCCAGAGCTGTGAACTAGATGACTTTGCAGAAGGAATGAGCTAGGGTGACAAACAGACATCACAGCAATGAGGAAGAGCATTCAGTGGTCTCCTGATCCAGTGAGCAGTTCTTAGTGATGAGAATGTGCCATGGGACAGTGCCAGGGAAACATTGTGACCCGGTTTTTTCTGTGCTAATTTGCCCTGATGACCTGCAACAATGCACTGATTTCCCACTGAGAGCTCACTTCTCACTTTGTCACCAACCTGCCACTTTGCCAAGTTTACCAACTACCAGCACTACACGTCAGATCTTTCAAGATGATCTGAGGATATGTGACCCAAAAAGGAACTAAGACATTCCACTGCCACTGCATACTGTTTTACTAATAGCAGGAGTGTCTGCTTTGCCTTGGGGAGCTGGCAGATGTTGATACAGAAAGCAATGTTGCAAAAGTTACAGACATTCTCTGCTAACTGTCCTATTAGTCTCTTCTCCTTTAGTTCAGGTGGAAAAGCTGGCCAGAATTCACGCTCAAATTGGCCTTTTCTGACTGGGGGACAGGAAAGCTGCATACTTAAAAGCAACTTCAGGTTCAACAAGGAAAGAGTGATGAGTGATTTGTTCACCACACCCAGGTAAATACAGTGCATGTGTTTGCAGACATGTGGTCTTTCAGATGATTCTTTGCACACAAATAGGTGTATCTGATGGGAAAACATGAATTTCCCTCCCAGTAATATAATCATTTTTAAAAAATTCAATTAACTTTTTTTCTCACATGTAAAACTGCCCCAGACCCCGGGCTGAGTGGCTGACTAGGTATAAACTCTATGAAGGTTGTACACCAAAGACCTTCTCCAAAGCAGTAGCTACACCCACACAACCTCCATGTACTCCACAAGAGGGGTCCATCCCACAGCACTCAGCTTTAGGTGACAGGATTGGTCAGGACTCCCCTCCCCCTAGCACTGATTAAATGCTCCTTCCCCTACCTAGCTCTAAGAGTTCACTCATTTGCATCCACAAATGAGGCCATGCCAGAGCTGCCTTCACTAGGTGCCCCATCCTCACCTGTTTTCCAGGAGCGTCATGCACACCACCTCTCGTACCCCAGGGTTGTTGGCCTTCTCCACAGAGCAGCCCTGCAAGTTCCAGGTGGCCAGCCTAAACACAGGACATCCATCCCTCATACCTCCAAAGGCCTCCACGGAGGGTCTCATGGAGATAATTTGCGTGGGTCCCCCTGGGGGCAGGTCCAAGTCCTCACTCTGCAGGCTCAGTGAGGTGGGACTGGGATGAGGCTTGGCAGTGAAGGTCAGGCCCCCATTGGTGTGGGTAGATGGAGGCCTGGACCTCTCTGCGAACACCTGGTGCCTTATTCTGTCCAAGAAGGCTGCATTGATTCCATCCATCCTTACCAGGTCCTCAACACTTCGAAAAGGGCCGTGTTCCCGGCGGTAGTCCACGATGCTGACAGCCATCTTCTCTGTGAGGCCTCGCACACTCATGAGCTGAGCCAGGGTGGCTGTGTTGATATTGACTCGAGGAGTGAGGGGCACAGCAGTGACCAAATGGTGAGGCTGCTGCTCTGCTAGCAGGTCTCGCCTCAGGGAACTGGGAGAGTGCTGTGCAGAGCTACCCTTGCTGCTCACACAGATCTCAAACTTCACTTGCTCCAGTTTGGTGGCCCCCACACCGCTGACCAGTGCTAGGTCCTCTACCTTCTTGAAGCCACCGATGTATTCTCGGTATTCCACGATGCTGCGGGCCACGGCACGTGTCACCCCAGGAAGGGTCATGAGCTCCTCTTCAGTAGCAGTGTTGATGTTGAGCCGCTCCTGATTCACCAGGATGTTGCTGAAATTGCAGGCTGCACTGAACTTGCGGCTGTGCGATAAGTCTGAGGGGTCTCTGGGGATGGAGCGATGGCAGCCCAAGGTGCTACCCATGGTCAACCAGATACAGAGACCCAGAAAGGCCTCACCACGGGAAAGAAGCCTAGCAGCCTTTATAAGCACAGAAGACTGGAAGCTTGAAGAACTTAGGGGTCGAAGAAATTGCTGCAGACAAACACCAAAATTTCCATGCCTAATGTTCAAAATTACCTTCTGCTAGGTAGGCCACCTGGAAATTGACATGGAAATTGACTGAATTAATCAATCGACCCTCAGCACTCCCCTGGTGCTGGAGTTCATAACTAGGAGGGGACAAGTGAACTTGTGGAAATGCAGAGACACAGTGAGTTTAGCCCCGTGTGGGTTTTCCTTCGGACACGTCCAGTTTAAGTGTCGCACTAGGTTCAAAAATGAAGAGCGCTAGCCCGCCGCCTCTCAGCTCTGGCAGACCTGGGACCTCCTCACTGTCATCCCACCCTTCTCCAGCGACAGGACTTAGTCCCTACTCCGCGCGGACACTGTAACTTGGGACCTCAGAGAAACCTGCGGATGCAGACGCGTAGTTGGGGCTCTCCCACCCACGCCCGGCCCTCTGATCCCCGCGTCCCACCTCTCCGCCTCTTGGGGGTCGGACCCTTGTCCACCTGCGGCTCGGACGCCGGGTGCAGGGCAATGCCCGCACGCCCCGCCGCGCCTCCTCGGCCCGCTCTTTCTGCCGGGAACTCTCCACGTCCTCTCCGGGACAGGCAGGTCCTGGAGGGCTGCTCTCCTCGCAGGCTGCAGTAGCAGCGGCGAAATTCGGCCACCGAAGCTGCACCCGGCCTCGCGTCGCCGCCGCGGCGTTTATCCAGCAGAAAGTCGCCGTCCGACTCGGTCGCGGGATCGGCGGGAGCGCGTCCAGAGCCCTGTACCCAGCGCCTCCGCCGTTCGCGGAGAGTGTCACCGCTCAGGTCCCGGCGCACAGCCCTAGGGCTCCGGCGGCACAGCCACGCCTCCTGCGCGCCGACTCCGCCTCCCGACTCCCCACGCACGTCGGGGCGGGGCGAGAGCGCCAGCGGGCGGGAGGTGAAGCTGGAGCAGGGGCGGAGCCAAGGAACGAGGGGCGGGGCCCTGGAGCCGTGGAGCGCAGAGAGCTGGATCGCGTGGAGGGTGGGGGGGTGGGGAGATGGGCGGAGCTCAGGGCCCGGGGGCGGAGCTGCCGTCTCAGCCTCCTGGGTGGCTCGCCCTGAGCTTGCAATCCCTTCTGCTGTTCTGGAACTGAGGCACTGAACTTTGAGAGCTGGTAGTAGTGCTAGCCATTTTGTCTTTAGCATTTTGTCTTTAGGACATAGGGACTAAGGCCAGAGCGCTCCCTGTGAGGCAGGTTTGTCTCGCAGGTCTGAGGCTTCTGTAACTCTCAAACAGGGGATTGAATGGGATCTAATTCATTTCTGTAGACACTTTAGACCTTTGCTTAGAGACCAACCCCATCCACTAATGCCAAGGAATCATGTGCATGCACTCTACTCCTGTGTGCTCACATAGGTCAAACATTTGCACGCTTATCACTCTGAGAAAATAAGAGTATGCTTCTGTAAAGTAGTAGATATAATCACCAAAAAGTAAGGAACCGAAATTGGGAAGTGAAAGCTTCTTTCCAAAACTTAACAGGTTTTGGATCATATTGTGAAAGGATAATTTAGTTAAAGATTAAAGGGCCTGCTGCGTTACAGTGGTTACCCGGAGCTGGAATACTCGGTTAAACAAACTCTGGGCCACTGCAGCGAAGGCACTGATACCGCTGAATACTTTGACCCAGAGCTGTTGGCATCCTCTGAAGGAGTAGGTCTTATGCGGCCAATGTGGCCAAGGCTTCTGATCTGAATCCCAGCTGAAGGCAAAAGGAACTGTGGATGGGGAATAAGTGGCAGCCCAGGCTTGGGGAAATGCTAGGGATGTTAGGACCCCCATCCTTACAAGTGATAGAAACCCAAGTCAGGCTTAGACCAAAAAATGAGGCGGGTTCCTATTCCCTTGGGAAAAGTTAGGCTGCATCTAGCTCCAAAGGTGCCATTGGGTGGTCTGACATCTTCTGCTTCTGCTGCCAACTTCCTCTCTCTGCCCTTCATTTTCAAATAAGCTGATCTCACTTGACAAGAATGCCCAGAGAAAAAATATAGAAACAGAGAAAGAAAATACAAAAGAAACAAAGGCAACAGGTAGCTAAGTAGCAGTGTACCAGCTATGCACACAGCCCAGGATAACACGTCGAAATGACTGATTATCAAACATTTGTGAGGATATGGAACAAATGAAACTTCACTGGTGGGTATGTAAGCTTGAACAACCACTTTGCAAATTAGTTTGGCAGTTTCTCAAAAGTTAAATGTATACCTATGACCCAACCCAACCATTTCTCTTACTGGTATTTATCAAAGAGATAAGAAAGCACAAGGCACAAAGTCTTCTAAATGAATATTCATAGGAGTTTTACTTGTTATAGTCAAAGATCAATAACCTCAAATTCATCAGTAGATGTTAGTTTGGGTATGGTCTGAGTTTGTCCCCCAATGGTTCATATGTTGGGAGCTTAGCCCAACACATGTGTAGTGACATTTGGAGGTGGTAGACCTTTAAATTTTAGGTTGGTCTTGGTGAGAGGTCACTGGGTCACGGCCTGTAGAAGGGAGTAAGGTAATTTCTGAAAAGGAGATTGAGTTGGTCATCCTGTGAGAATTGTTATAAAAGAACAAGCCTGGTTTCTCCTCTTGCTCTGACTCCCTGGCTCGTGATTTCCCCCTCGCCTGCTCTTGCGATACCATCTATTATGAGGTCTTACTAGAGAAGAACCATGCCAACACTACACTCTTAAAACTCCAGAACTGTAAGCTAAACAAACCTCTTCTTTATAAGTACCCTTCTCCAAGTATTTCATTATAGTAACAGAAAACAGATTAATACAATAAAAACCTGGAATATTGCTGAGCAATAAAGATAAATTAACAAAAGCAACATCAATAAAGAATTTCTACTCTCAGTGGCCAAACTTATTTATGTTGCTAAATGAAAGAAAGAAAAAGCAATATTTTTTTTTTCTGCTGCAATGTTTTAGTCCCAGACTGAACTCCAAATTTGTTCTAGTTTGGTTACAGAAAAAGACTTTTTGCCACTGAAACTTGAGCCATCTGTGCCTCTAAGAGGCTGAGAATGGAAGAGTTTCAGATACTAAAGAGTGAAGTTTGCCTGCAAATAAAGAATCGAGTGTGTGTGCAAAGCTTATTTTCTTTTATCTGGGCAAAAATTAAAACACATTCCTTGGAACAGAGCTGTTATTGCCTGTTCTGTGGAGAAACTTTTCTTTTTGAGGGCTGTGGTGAATGGATGAACATACATAGTAAAACTGACAATATTTTAAAAATATATAAAATACAAAATTAAAATATAATTGCTGGTCAGTCTTAGCATTTTACAGTATTTGGGAAAATAGCTGTTACAGTTTTCTTGCTCTGAGTAACTGACATGAAAGGAATGATGCAGACTATAGTGAAGATGTCACTCGAGTGCTATGCTTGGGAAATGGATGGTCCACCTCATTCTCCAGGAGCCACAACTCAAGCTGAATTGTGAAAGTGGTTTAACACTGTACCCTAGGTAGTCTTTTTTCCTCCTCCTGTTTATTTTTTGTTTGTTTTATTTATAGTCTGATTTTAAACAATCAGATTCAAGTTGGTTAATTTTAGTTATGTAACAACTGACATGATGGAGGAAACATCCTTTAAAGGGATTGTGTCTATGGTTTGAATCACTTAGAAATTTTATTTTCTTATAACTTAAATGCGATAAAATGTGTGTTTTATGTTAAAAAAAGAATTTCAAAATCAGTTCACTGAGTGAAAGAAACCAAGCAAAAAGAGAAAACATACTGCAATATTCATATATGAACTAGAGAAAATAAATCAGTGTCCATATGGAGACAATTTACCAATGGCTGCATGGGGGTTTGTGGAAGGAGGAATAAATTTAAAAAGTCACAAAAAACTTTCAAGGGGAGGTGATGGAAATATTGCTTGACATATAATGGCTGCATATGCCAAAACCAATAGAATGGCATATTTTAAATAAATACAACTTAATGTAGTTCAATTGTACTTCAACAAGCTTGGGAAAATCTTCAAAAAACAAAAATAATTCTAAAATGAATGCCATTTGAACTTAAGAAATGTGGTGGGTTTTTTTGCAGGGATGAGTGCAGGATGTGTCAGAATGGAGAGAAAGTTGAAGAAGGTTGTAAGGGGCAAAGGGGCATAGGATGTCGCCAGCTGCCAGAAGAATCGTTAGTGTACCCGGCTCAGTTTGAGTTGAGGACCTAGAGAAGGGGGCCCCAGAGGACATAAGAATTCATAATGTCAGTAGTCCAATCAGCTGTACTATTCTCTCTGCATTTCTCCCACTTCTGCTCCTACACACAGATACTGAAACCTCAATAAGATACACAGTCCCCTTGCATGAGAGCTGCCTAGGAAAAATTAGGTAAAGGAGCTTAAACTGTTCAATTGTATTAGGTATAGCTAGAAAGGCACAGTTAAAACACAGATGATGACAGAAATGTCCAAGAAATAAGAAACCAGACGGTGAGATAACCTAGCAACATATTTGACTACCAGAATCACAACTGAGATGGAAACATTGGCAAGGGGCTCATTACATAAAGAATATTTAAATGAATTTTACTTGACTCTCCAAGGATATTGGAATTCCAGCTGACATTTGAGTTACATGAAGGTGCCACTCAATATGAATAGCAAAGGCCAGAGTTTCCAACATTCTAGTCAAATGTTCCAACATTCTAGTCACACGTAGTGGCCTCTGTCCCTTTCAACACAGTTCTCACTTAAGGCCTTGTCAGAAATTACCAGGTCAGTGTCCTTTTGCTTCTTAGCAGTTTCAAAGGTAAATGGTCACTAGGGGAAGGGAGAATAGTGGAAGTTAGGAGGAAAAGTATTTTCAGTCTCCAGTTCAGCACGAGGTACAGGTACAGGAAAGCAAATTACTACTTCCTCTATTGCCAGAGCTCATAGGCAGCAGGAACACAGGCATGAAATTAGGAAGAGTATTTCCAGTTACAGTGGGGAGGAAAAGGATATGGCAGTGAAATACAGGCATCTTAGTCTAAGGGATTTGCCTGGGAAGTGGGGAGTTAACATAAGACTTAAAAGATCAGTAGGAAATGATATCTCAACCCACAAAAGCAACCTCCACTTCTTCAATCAATAACACTCAACCAGACTATTGACAGTGACCTTAGCAACAGTATCGTGCATTGGCCAAGATGGATGTTGCCCTGAATAACAAAGTATCAAAGCAACACCTTTTATTAGAATGACCTCAACAGTAGCTCTGCCCCTGTGTACCAAAGTAGGCTCCCTGTGGTCCAAACTGATCAAAGTCCAGACATCGGCATTGCTCTTGAACATTATACATCAGGTGCGCCTCACAGCCAGTCATCCTATGAGGTGGTAGGGAATGATCACTGATAGACATTTGGGCAAAGGTATTGAAGCCCATTGTCTGACTCTGTTATAGACATTCAAGGTGAATGCCACCAGCAGGAGCACTGACGTGCACATCTAAGTATCTAGTGCTCTGTCACATCCCAGACTTTAGAGACTCTTCCTGGCATCCCAGTGAACCAGGCCTCTCCGAGTCCTCCTCATCATGTACCACTTCATATACTGAAGAACCCAGTAGCTGTGCTGGAGGGAAGCTAGCTCATCTTCCAGAAGAGGCCACATGGACAAGAGAAAAGGCAGCCTAGCCCAGTCCCTCCCAAGCCCAGCCCTGCTAGTGAAGCCTCTGGAACTTTCACCCAGGCCAGCTCCAGCACATGTGCCCACACAAGGAGCCAAGCAGAGATGCAGAGGCAAAGATGGACCTGGCAAGGCCTAGCCACCCACAAGGCATGAGAGAGGGTACAGGGAAGTGTGAGAGACTTCTACA